CTCAAGATGGAAGAAAAAATAAATCAAGTAGTGGCTGGAGGGAAGGCTTGCTTAAACAGCCAGGTTTTCAATCGGCCTTTGAAAATGCCCAGCAAAGGGGCCATACAAATCTCAGAAGGGAGGTTATTCCAAAGGCGAGGAGCCACTGCCGAGAAGGCCCGGTTTCTTGTTTTTTCCTTCTGGGCCTCCCTCGGCGTTAGGCTCCTCAGCCTCACCTCCTGGCTAGATCGAGTGATACGAGTAGATTTAGGTGGGAGAAGGTGTTCCTTATATGATTGTATATGATGTGTGGAGATGCAATAGTCCCTAAACAGGAGAGTAAACCTGCCAATTTTCATACAAGGAGGTCCAGGTCTTTGCATAATAGACACTTCTAAAGATCACTTTCACACCCCCCCCAAAAAAACCAACAACAACAATGAAGTCTGAAGGATGAGCTCCATCCAACAAGATTTCTGCTCTAGATACAAACTGACTTGTAAATTCACTCTGCTTCACCCTGGAACTGAATCTAGGACCTAGTTCTGCTTCAGTCTCAAACACATAAAAAATTTGGGCCAAATTATTTTATTTATTTTTTTATTTATTCAATTTATATGCCACCCACACTACCCAGAGGTCTCTGGGCGGCTTACAATAATTAAAATTCAACACAGTAAAAGATAAAATAATTAAAATACAATTAAAATACAATTAAAATTGCCATCAGCCTCAATCGGTTCAGAATTCGGCTTTGTCCAAATCTGGGGCAATGCAACCAACATAAGTGGTGCTTCCAATTTTATTATGTTCATGAAACAAGAAAGTAACTGTTCTATTTCTTCTCACAATTTTCAAAAATTGCAAAAGTGAGGCGATTTGCACAGACTGCACCATTTGTGCAAAACTTGCAGAACTCTTTCCAGAAGTATCAGAAAACATCTCGCTCATTCATAGGTAAGGATGAAAATTTTCCATTCAATGAAAATGACACAAGGAAAGATTTTTATCACAGCATATGCCATGCCTACCATCTTTCAATGAATATACTGTCCTTGCTTTTTTAAAAAAATAATAATTATAAACAAGGTTCCATAGTAACACTGCAGGATAACTCATTGGTTTAGGTATCTGTACGCAGAGCCAGAGGTTCAGAGTTCAATTCCCCCTTGTGCCTCCCTGACAGGGGCTGGACTTGATGATCTATAAGGTCTCTTCCAGCTCTACAGATTTAAAACTAATCTGTTAGCACAAGAATGCGGAAAATCAGCAGAGTAACTTCTGGTCCAGGTGGTTAAAGGATCACGTACACACAAGCAACTTCTCCAGCACCAGAAGTGTATTTACAAGTTATATACAGAAGTGCAATACACACAAGCAGCTTCTCCAGCACCAGAAGTGTATTTACAAGTTATATACAGAAGTGCAGACTGGCAGCATAACAGCATGACACTTATCAGGAAGAATAATATATCTGCTTTACAGAGTCCACATTTATAATTCACAACTATCTGTGTCCAAGCATATTAGATATTGCATCATACATGAGTCAGCACTTTATGAGTCATCATGACTCAGCATTACAGCACACCTGTTCAATATGGCTGCTCATTAAGACACTTTGTACTGCTCAGGCCTGTAAATTTTATCCTTGACATAATCTAAAATTGACTGCTTTCCTCAACAGGCTCTCAGTTCAAAATCTCACTGTTTTTAAAGTCTTATCTGTAAATTTTACCTTGACATAATCTAAAATCGACTGCTTTCCTCAACAGGCTCTCAATTCAAAATCTCACTGTTTTTAAAGTCTTATGGTCAAACTGTTGCTACCCTGCATTGCAAAAGATGGCTGGCTATTTCTGGAAAACGCACATGTGAAAAGCCGCTAGCTTTCCAGTCTGCCTTTGTGATCTGTGAGAAAGAACAAAAGAGAAGAGACTTGGTAGCTGAACTGGCTGCAAACATCTGAGAGTCATGGTCCTTTTCCAAGCTCTGACCAGGTCCATCATCGTCAGTAACTATCTCGTCCAGTGTACACAATCACATTCTCCAAAGCATGTACATATCTAAACCTTTAGGACAGGGATGGCAAACCTATGGCACATGTGGCACATCTGGCACGCAAAGCCCTTCCTCCTGGCATGCAAGTGAGCAGGCCACCCACCCTTGCGGAATCAAACCTTTTGAAGTGGCTGCAGCTTGGATTTCCCCTTTCTCTTCTTGTTCTGGGTCCTTTAATTTCCTGTTCGTCCCCATGATTCCCCCTTTAACTTCCTGTCCATCCCCATAAATCCCCCTTTCACTTCCTATCTGTCCCCATGATTCCCCCTTTAACGTCCTGTCCATCCCCATGATTCCCCCTGAAACTGCTACTTCCTGTTCCAGTTCTGGTCTTCCGGGCAGCACGGCAGCCACTGGTTTCTTCCCCACCCTCTCATTTTGGGCACTCCAGCCGAAAAAGGTTTGCCTCCACTGCTTTAGGCTGTGATGTTCCTATTTATATGTTCAACTCTTCTTTCCCCCAAGAATGCAACTTAAGTGATGAGATTATTGTCTTGTTTGTGGATTTCTGATAAGCATCTGGTTGGTCTCTATAGGAACAGGACGCTGGAGTAGGTAAGCCTTTGGTCTGAGCTAACATGGCTCTTTCTACACTGGGGATGAAAGTTGTGCAACATACTTCTCACTTACATTTTGTGATACATTTGTCTTGACCTTGATTTTGATGCCACTGGTAGAAATATCACATTTCTTTGTTGTGTCAGTGTTGAAATGGCTAACTTCCATATTAAACAGCTAAATAATGTGTCTTGAGAACAGCATTTCAGAAGTAATAATATTACCATTCTCTTGTTATCAGCTTTTGCAAGACTAGATACATCGCTGCCATTCAATGAGAAAGAAATTATTTTAACACTTGTGTGTCAAAATATAAGATGTTATTTCCAAGCTCACATAGATACTAGCATTAAAAAAATTCAGAAGGTGTTCAAAAATGACATTGATGAGAAGAAAGATGACTGCTTGATAAAGCATAAACCCACTTTTAAAGTAAAAAGAATAAAATGGAGGAGGAAATTTAAAAATTCTTCCCTAAATGCCAAAAAGACCACAGAGACAGGAGGTGAATATCCATGGCAAGTTATTCTATAGATAGGTGCTAAGTCTGAAAAGGTCTTCTCTCTAGTAGAGTACAGTGTTGTTACTCTGTTACTCACAAAGCATCAGACTACATCAGACCTAGCCTTCCATCTTTCTTTCCTGAAGTCTGGCAGCTTAGAAAATTCTTGAATTCTATATGGGGGTTGTGGATCACATGATACCTATCCTAAGGACACAGAACGAATTCTTAAACAGTTGTGTCTGTCACGTTGAATGAAGACTAAAAGTAACACAAGACTGGAATTTTTTTAAAAAAAATGATTTTTCTTCTCATGGATTATACAAAAAGAGCTGAATCCCTTACTCCCAGCAGTGATGTATATATGACAATGCATTTAACAACAACCACATTTAACAGCAACAACACAGAAATCCCTAGGTGCTTGTAATGTCATATTACCATTACTTCCATTAAGTGGGGAAAACACATTCGAAACATGACAGAGCCCTTTCCTTCTCTGGTAGATCTGCATTCGTTGGAGGCTATTATTTGTGGGGAAGAAAATGAATTTGCCATTTCATTCCTGGCCATCGTTTAAATGTCAGCAATACAGGTTTCAGCACTGCAAATGTCCCTGAACATATTTAGGCTTGAGTAAATTGGAAATAATCAGTGAGGCTCACTCTGGCTCTCCTGAGCAATAGAATGGAACACTATCAATCTCTCATCACAGACGCAAAATTTCCTTTCAAAGCCTGTGTGTGTGTGTTGTGTGAGTCTGAGAGTGTCTAAATAGTGACGAAGTATGAATAACAAGGCCCCCACCTTGAACACTTTCCCTGTTTTAACCACCAAATTGCGTTCCCCAGAAATTACCACATTTAAAAATAGCATTCTGTTTTAAGAAATAGGCCTCCCTGCTCGCTTTTTCATTGTTCGTTTTGCTATTGAAAGACAGGTTAGGCATCCTTCAGTCTCGAAAGACTATGGTAGCGTGCTCTGTATGGAGGGCTTGGGACAGTGCTTAGTGTGGCTGAGAAGGCCAATCCGAGAGAGACAGTCCCTTCCACACTGAAGACAAATCCAGTCTGTCCCCTGTCCGGCTCCCTGGTTTTGCTGCTTTTGTGACTTCCTCTTTGCCTCGGCCTGCTGGGCAAGGGTCTCTTCAAATTGGGAGAGGCCGTGATGCACCGCCTGCCTCCAGGCTGAACACTCAGATGTCAGGTTTTCCCATCTGTTGAGGTCTATTCCTAAGGCCGTCAGATCCCGCTTGCAGATGTCCTTGTATCGCAGTTGTGGTCTCCCTCTGGGGCGCTTTCCCTGCACTAATTCTCTACACAGGAGATCCTTTGGAATCCGACCATCAGCCATTCCCACGACGTGCCCGAGCCAACGTAGACGTCGATGTTTCAGTAATGTGTGCATGCTGAAAATTCCAGCTCGTTCTAGGATTGCTCTGTTTGGAACTTTGTCCTGCCAGGTGACAATATACTAAAAAATAAAAAAAAGCAGTAAGGTGGCAGCACCTTTAAAAACCTTCCAACCATTCTCAAACTTGCTATCTCTCAGCCAAACAAATCAACTCCATTTCTGCCCAGTTGGCTGTGAAGAACCTGTTACATCAGAAAGGGTTTTATCCTGAACTGGCAGGGATGCCGAAGGATGGCTGGCAACCAAGAGAAGAATGTAAGGTATCAAAGCTCCCTTGTACAACACATGCTGAACCGCTGATAGGAATGACTTGCTTCATGGCTGGAAAAAGTTAACAACTAGCAAGAGTATAGTCTTTCTTTGTCTGTTGCTATGAATACTGGTCTATAGGGGTGTAGCTTTCCTCTTGGGTTTCTTTGTTTGTTTTGCATATTACTTTCCTCTTCCGTCTAGTAGAGGTGCTTTTTATTATGGTCAGGTGAGAGAGACAACCCAGCTGCCAGCATGGAGCACCCAAATGAAACAAAGCTTGAGAAATGGGGGTAAGTACACCCAAAAATTACACCCAAGAGAATTAAGCAGGCATAGCTGTTGTACCGCTTGGATGTTGGTGGTTGTTGAGAGAGAATAAATAAATAACAAAGCAAGGGCACAACCAAGCCAAAGCTCATTTGTTCAGGAGCCTTGGCTGACCGCAATAGAAGGGTCAAGAACAGACTTAATTTTTTCTGCATTTATAAGGCTCCTGTGGACAACACTGTGCCCAAATTAACAAAGAATGAGGAATTAATAATGTTTGTGGGTATAGTTATGCTCATAAGACGCAAGGGGAAGTGCACTTTCTTTGAAAGGGAGAAGGGAGTTGTAATTATACCACCCAGTCATTGTTTTTGTGGCCCAAAGTAGATGCAATTGCAAGAAATAATAATAAAAAATGTTGTTGGTTGCTACCACTTGCTTCATCACTTCAAACTTCTCCTGGCATTGTCCATGGGGAGGGTCACCCTGGTACTTACAGTAGTGGCCAGCTAGCCTTGTTCCAAGTAATGTGAAGAAAATAGACCCGCACCTTCTGAAAAGTTTCTGATGTTTCGAATATATAAAGCCTCTGTTTGGTTGGAAGAGTCATAATGAAAGAAGAGGGCAGTGTGCCTATGGACCAAGGAGGCTACAGGTCGATGTTTTTATTTGACCACCTGGGACTATTTTCCAGCTAACGTGCTTTCCAAATAAATAAATAAATTTTAAAAATGAATGAATGAATGAGAATGCAATTAAGATCGTCCAGTAATATATTGATAAAGGAATTCATGGAGGCCTTCCAGTTTGGTATGTTACTGCGTGGATAAAGTTTGATTGATTCTTCAGGTTCCGTTTTGAATCAAGCAAAGCAAAGTGTGCTTCTTATACTGTATATTGTCCCATAGTGCTTATAGCACTCTCTGGGCAGTTTACAAGTTAGTTATGAAGGCTACACATTGCTCCCCGAGTGAGCTGGGTATTCATTTTACCAACTTCAGAAGGATGGAAGGCTGAGTGGCAATTGAGCCAGCTACCTGGGATTGAAATCTCGGTTGTGAGCACAGTTTTGGCAGCAGTACAGCAGTTTAACCACTGTGCCATGAACACTGTTTGCCTCCTTTTCTGAGCGACATTTCTCTGTTTTACTGTTGAATCAATACTATTGTCAAAGAGGTGGCCTTGAAGTTAATGATCTCCTTAAATTGGCTATATGTTCCAAATTGGTTCTTGGGTGTTCCACAGCACTGGATTGCATTACACAGTGAAGAGGGTGATTTTGAGGATGTTTCATGAATCCCTGTGGCTAATAAAATAAGCACACACTTGGCTTATGGAATATCAATTTACAGCCCTAATGGCAGCACAAAGTGAATGGCATTAAGTGAAACTGCTTTATAATCCTATAATCTCGATACACTTTGATATGCATGCAAGAAGTGTTTGCAGCTGAACTCGGCCAGGAGATAAAAAAAGAACAAGGCAGGAGAGCTTATGTTATTAAACCAATCATAAAACTTTTGAACTACAGAACATCTCCCCTACTGTTATTGGTTGGGGGAGTGATTTTGGATGAGTATGAAGAATTGTTGAAATGCAGTTGTTTCTTTTCAATTTTTTTTTAAAGGCACACCTGCTGTTGTTCCGTTGCTTTATTTGAGAGTTTCAATTTATGGTTGCAGCTGTGCTGAGTATTCTCTAGTTTCAATATTTGTTTGCAATTTTGAGGGACAGACTACAATTTTCTTTCTTTCTTTCTTTCTTTCTTTCTTTCTTTCTTTCTTTCTTTCTTTCTTTCTTTCTTTCTTTCTTTCTTTCTTTCTTTCTTTCTTTCTTTCTTTCAAATAATTTTGCCCCACCTTTCTCCTTGAAAAGGACCCAAGGCAGCTTATAACAATGCAAGACAATATTTAAAGTTGAAAACAATGAGTATACAATGGTGGTTAACATCATTAAAATACAATATTTAAAACTACAAACAATGAATAAGGAGGCATTTTAGATTAACAGCCAATATAAAGGCAAAGATCAATAAGTGTACATTTTTTTAAAAAAAAGTATCTCTGAGAAATGGAAAACACAAGTAGTACTAAAAATCCAGTCCAATCAGTAATACATAACAATCTGTCTAAAAATCACACACAGGTAGCTGGCTTACTGAGGGAAGGCTTGCCTGAAGAGAAATGTCTTTGCCTGCTTGTGGAGGGAGAGACAGCAAAGATGGGACCAGTCTCGCCTCCAGTGGAGGGAGTTCCAAAGTCTGGGTGCAACAACAGAGAAAGCTCTCTCCTGTGTCCTCATCAAACACATTGCTCCTTATACACTGAACCTAGAACAAATGTTACAGCAAATTTACTAGAGGATATGCCAGACAAAAGTGACCAAAACTAAACTATCTATCTGTGGGAGAGACAGCAAAGATGGGACCAGTCTCGCCTCCAGTGGAGGGAGTTCCAAAGTCTGGGTGCAACAACAGAGAAAGCTCTCTCCTGTGTCCTCATCAAACACATTGCTCCTTATACACTGAACCTAGAACAAATGTTACAGCAAATTTACTAGAGGATATGCCAGACAAAAGTGACCAAAACTAAACTATCTATCTGTTATGCATCGTTAATAAGGCAGTATAGAACAGACAGTGTCGAAATTCACCCAGAGGTTAAGGAGAGATTATCTGAAGATCCACACAGGTTAATTGAAAGAACTTGTTTTCTATTGAAATTATGTGTGCATTTCAATCTGTATTTTGTTTCTAATCTGGCTTTGACGAATGTCCCTGGCTTTGACGAACCTTTTTCATCTGCTAGCATTGTTAAGCTTGCACTTCGCACATGTATATACTGCTATTTGTATTTATGCTTTAAATTGGTGGAGGTTGAATGACCAAAGTGATGGAATAGTAATCAGGATGTTCAAGATAACCATCATGATTGTTGCTACCCAGCTTGTGATTAATTACACAAGGAACAGGACATTCCAGCCCATTCAATTTGACTAAGGCATTGCTTCTTGGAGGATAAGCATGAAGGCAATTAAGGGCAATTAAGAGTGAGGACCTTGGAAGTGTAGAAGCAAACATTCTGAGTGTCAGACACCTCCCCTCAAAAGTTGGGGTCTTTTTAAAAAAGTTGCTAAAAATATATTAAAAGACAGTCGTTTCAACTCAGTTAGGTGATATACAGTATGAAGTGGTGTTTTCAATTTATAAGAAGAAGCAAATGTATTATTTGCAAGCCCTGTCAAATCAGTTTGCTGCGGTGCCTTGAGGTTTTTCTTGTTGTTAGGCAGAGCTGAAACTTCGTCAGACATGGTCTTTCTTTCATAAATTACATTTCCTAGAATTTATCGCATCATTCTAGTGAAAAACCGTTGTGTGTAGGCCTATTTGGCAGCTGTCAAAATGGTTTTCTAGTCATCTTCTCCAAAACTTATTTTTACATGAACCGTGTTTAATCATTTTTACTTATTATCACAGTAACCTTGCAGACTAGGTAAGACAGGGATATATAGATTTGTCTAACAGCATGCTTCACACTGGAGTGGGGATTTCATGCAACTCCCATCATCAAACTGACTAGTTCTCTGTTGGTAAACACACCTTCAGTTTGAGGTATTATTGAGAATATGAAGACTTCTTGTTAATGAATAAACCAATCATACTACTTTTGGTTCATGCCAGTTTTACACATGTTCATCCTTATATGCAGTCTGTCTGTTTTCAGCATTATTGAACAAAAAGTACATTTTTTTCCACAGTGTTTTTATTTTCATACCAAATATCAGGGACAAAATATTCTCTCAGTCTTCATTTCAGCACCCAGTCCCAAATGGATTTTCTTCCCATTTTTGTTTTGTATCATATAGTGAGATTTTGGGGTGCGGAGTGTGTTTCAGGTGGAGATTCACTTGCACATTTGTCTCACTTTCTGGACTCGCTTACACATTTTATGTCATATATGGATGGTTCCTCATTTATTACAGTGTGTGCTTTTTTTGACTTTTTTATGTATTTTTAGCCATTTGCATTTTGAAATATGACCAGTGCCTTGTGTACAATCTTTCTTTCTCTCTCTTTCTCTTTGCATGTGCAAAACATCCCATAAGCCTAGAAAATGGTCAAATGTGTGTGGTGCCTCTCTTCTCACAACAAGTCCAGGTATATGTCTCTCACTGGGACTCTTGAGAGGTGCATTAGGAACCTAAATCAAGTGAAATTCTTTTCCAGACCTACTCAGCTTCCCCTAACAAAACCTAAATCAAGTGATTTTCCAGACCTACTCAGCTTCCCCTAACATATGCACATGTGTACAGTTTCCCCAATATCCCCATTTTCATACACAACTTGTTGCACAGTTTTGAATTTCTGGTAGAATTCTTTTTTGCTACACAGTAGAAGTACAGATATTCTTAGATTAGATTCAAGTTCCCCAGAGTCCACCCCTTTCTCCTTTGCTACTCAGTAGAAGTACAGATGTTCTTAGATTAGATTCATGTTCCCCGGAGTCCACCCCTCTCTCATTAACTGATACATAAAGGGTCAATAACTCACTCTGAAGCATTTTTAGGAGGAGGAATAAAAACATTTCTTTACTTGCAGTTGTTGAAATTACAGACTTGTGTATGCTGTTTTCTTTACTGCACTCATACTAAGCAACTAACTGAACAGATCAAGAGCAAACAAACAACTACCATCAGTTGAAGAAAGAGAGGGAATACAAACTATTAGCAGCGAGTTGAGACACTGCTTGAATTCAAAGGCTGGAAAGAATGATTGCTCGGTGCTGGTCCAGAAAAATCCCTCCCACCCATTCAAGCTACAGGCAGCAGGAGAGGCTGCAAATACAACTCTAACACAACTTTGCCTAAATTTGCCTAACTCTTCTATCCAACTTTCCCCATATTTGTAAATGGCTTGTGGCCTGATTTGGGATTTTGTTTTGTCATGGTACTAGAAAGAAGGGAATTCTCTGGCCCTAACTTGGCAGATAGGTAAAGGTAAAGGTTCCCCGTGACATTTAGACCA